CACGCAGTTAGCACATGCCCACCAGTAACTCCGTACTTTTGGAGGTATACGCCAACCATAATTTCATCTGTTCTTGTTGATTTTGCATGGTGGTGAAGCCCATATAACCGATGAGCACGGCATGCCGATACTAGCAGAAGGGCTGCCTCGGAAGATTGCCGACCCGTTTGACTACGGAGGCGGGAACATCAACCCTCGTGGGGCGGCTGATCCGGGCCTGGTTTATGACATTGATCCACAAGATTACGATAAATACTTCCGCTGCACCATCGTCAAGAGGGCCTCCGTGCACTGCAATACGACGGGAATGCTACCAGCGTACCACCTGAACTTGCCGTCCATCTCGGTTCCCAACCTAAGGAGTCCGGTCACCGTGTCAAGGACAGTGACAAACGTTGGGGATGTCGATTCCGTGTACCATGTAGAAATCCAGAGCCCTGTCGGAGTAAGGATGGAGGTTGATCCGCCTGTACTAGTGTTTGATGCGAAAAACAAGGTTCGCATGTTTCGGGTGAAACTGTCCCCTGTGTGGAAGCTACAAGGGGATTACACTTTTGGCAGCCTTACATGGGGTAATGATCGGAAGGTGGTGAGGATTCCAGTTGCAGCCCGGATTACAATTCAGGATTTCTATGCGGATGTTGCATAGTTAATTGGGAGAAACATGAAAACATAAGATAATATTACATGATTGCATGATTATGCACTTTCACATGCACATGCTTATTATTATGTGTCACCGTGTTGATGAGAGATGCTACTTGTGAACTTATGAACCCGACTCAACTTCCTTAACATGATAACCTCTAGACCCTCTCACTTACTGCTTTTATTTTCAGTTATGCAAAAATACAGGACCGCTTCATATATATACCATCATCTACTCATTACTTATTGCAACTAGCAGAGCTAGTATTATTAACAATCGCACAAGAACTGCTAACACAAGTAGTCTCTTGATTTTAATTTAGTGAGATAGAGAGACTAGGCAATACCTCTACCTCTACGAAGTAATGACCTTGATTATTCACTGAGGGGAGAACTTGCTGCTTCCGCAAAATGATTTACACATGAGGGTCCAACAACTAGCTGGCCATTATAGGGATTGGAGCAAGTAATAGGTGGTCGCGTAGTCCACGAGAGAAAAACAATAGCAAAGTCATTTGAAATAATCAACGGGTGGCGGTGGGAGGGAAGGGAGATGAAGGTTTGAACAACCAATGAGTGCTATCACCACGCAACTGCTATTTGCGGTACGATGGGGCCCACCACCAACACACAGAAGGCCCACGTGACAAATGTCATAGGCGAGCAGGGACAAACGCATGGCCCACCAACAAGAACATAGACATGATATTGTAGCTATTAAGAAACAGTATAACAGATTGAGCTACAACTCCTCACATCATTCCAGGCCGTTTGGGCCGTTGTCTGATATCTCTTGTGTTGCTGCTCTGTAGACTTACCAAGACCCATTGTAGGTAATTGGGCTAGAGGTGCACATCGGGCCAGACCAAGACTTCTGGTAGGCACTGACCGATCTCCGTTGTGAGCCTTCTGCTCTTCTCTCGTGGTGAAGGAAGCAGCAACGACGCCGGCGGTGGCTACAGCTAGACCACGTTCCAGTGCAAAAGCTTACCTTGATGGCAGAGGCGTTTTACTACCCTTCTTTCTTCTAATAATGGAGCTTAACTCATTCGTCCTCCCTTTATCGGTTGGATTGTATGAGGCGATAGTGTTGGTGATAACGGGCGTGAGGGACTGAGGGTCGACCTGAAACTAACTCACGTGCGTAAGGAACGAATTGATGGCCATGACGTTGCATCTATTTCTATTTGAGTTCACCACTGCAACTATGCAAAGATGGCACGGGTGTGAAGTTTGTAAGGATCCCAACTCCTTCTCCATGAAACTTTACTATAATCGAACTGCCACCGAGCCATGTCCCCGAGCCAGTTTGCATTTTCATCCATGCTACATTACTTAAGCCTCCTCGACGCGCCATGTGCCTTCGCACCAATCCCTCCCAAATAGGTCTGCCTGCGAGATAGTTCCCGCATTATTAGCCCAGTGAATTGCTCCCAAGGTACTACACCAAGTTCAGTGAATTGCTCCCAAGGCACCACACAAAATATTCATCAGATGAAGCTTTATATTCATGACAAAATCATTTCAAACACTCATACTTAGTAGATATATTGGTACAATATTAATTCGGATAGATATTTCTATAATTTTCTATTAAAATGGACGAGCATGGAAACATGCGCCTTCATGTTCTAGTATACTATAGAAAGGTCCACCCACGGCCTCACGCCCTTTCCATGTGTCGCCCGATGAGTGGAGCTGGTTGGGCTAGGACCTAGGAAAGGGAAATAAACCTACACTCTTATATTGTACTTGTTCATATCAAAATACTATAAAATATCTTGTATTATGCTACGAATGAGATAAATATAAGACAACGCCCTAAAATAATGGCCTGCCGTGTCTTGGGTGACAGCCGAGTCTTGAACCCAATACCTTGTTTCTCATACCGTATAGAATTGAACGGTGTGCACCAACATCTTGTTCAATCAAGATCTGAACCGATGGAAAAGGAGATGGGCAATATATTTCAATGGTTCGGCCATCTTTCCCTCTTTCTTCCGATGAATAAGGTGCATTTCGTTTCGTTCAAACAAGACTTTGACCAACAATTACTCTTTAGATATTTGATTTATGTGATACAAAATCACTATCATAACAAAGTACTTATAAATACAGATCTGGTGGCACAAATTTCATGTCATATAACCATGTACTACCTTTGTCTTGGTTTATTGGTCCCCTTTATAATTTGTGCTAAATTTTCACCAAATATTTAACTGACAAAATGTTAGTGCATGTCAACAAAAATTATATTATTGAATTCGTATTTGAACATAGTTTTTAATGATATAATTTTTTATGACATGCATGAACATTTTGTTAGTTAAATTTATGGTTGAAATTTGGCACAGAATGATTATATTAGTGGAGTAATTATTGCTCAGATGCATGCGTGTCTTAACCAAACAAAATACGTCTTACTTTTAGGAATGAAAATACTTTAGTAGTAGTACTTTCAAGTATGTATACACCACGTGTGGTAAGTGTACCCATCATCGTAGAAATGACTGTAATTACACAATAACGGAACGGGGAATAATTGAATATCACGTACGTACTGTGCCGACCTGTATGTTCTTGCGCTGGCAATCATGCATGCTAACTGCTAAGAGCGAGTTGCGTCGGCGGCAAGGGATTGCCCGGTGGCTGCAGCCAGCGGTTGGAGGCGGGCAGCGCACCGCACGGAGAGTCTGCTACGCCACGAAAGCATCATGTGCCCGGAGATAGCGTGATCATGGAAAGGTACAAGCACGTAGCCACGCTCACAGGGCCACACCCACTCACCACCCATATATACCAATAATTAATATTCGATCACCATGCACACATGCTTAGTTGATCTAATTATGGAGAATCATATACACCATCACTAAACCGTTCGATGGATCATCACCATGCACCCTGGCCCTCCACCTTTTGGTCCCGAATATATCCCTGACACGATAAGAATCTACGTATTTCCTCAATGTGTTTGCTATTCATATGGTGACCGGAAAAAAAAATCGCCACGTCAGTTGATTCCTGAAGAAGGCGGCGTGAAGCAGTTGGCCACGATGTCTCCGACGAGGCCAAGCCAAGAGTCCGGAACCGTGCCATAAACGGAATGAAGCTCGCATGGCAGAGGGTCGGCGACTTCGTCTGTCGGGAGGGGGAAGGAGGGAAGGGCTCATCGATAGCTTGTTCGGTTAGTCAGGTTTCGAATATGTTTGAAAGGGATTGGAGGGGGTTAAATCCTTTGCAAGTCAAAATCCCTGGTCCTCCTTCTGGCCCGAATATATCCCTGACAAGAAAAATTGTTGAAGAATCTACGTATTTCCTCAATGTGTTTGTTATTTATTTATTTATTTATTTTCAAACCGGGCTTCCGCCCTTCCATTACTTTTCGATAACGGAAATACAAAGATGTGGCTACTATTATATGGTGTTTGGAAAAAAATTGCCGTGTCAGTTGACTCAGACGTCGTGAAGCAGCTGGCCACAATGTCTCCGACGAGGCCGAGCAACTGTGCCACAGCCGGGACGATGCTCACGTGGCAGAGGGTCGACGGATTCGTCGAACAAGTGGGGCGGGGGAAGGAGGGTGACCGCCTCTCAAACCGAGCTAAAAAAATGGATGCCTACCACAACCAACCGTCGGTACCTTGCCGATGGAGGGGACAACAAGGCTCGGTGCGATGTCACTGATATCGAAGAAGTAAGGGGTATGGAGGAGGGGCAGGGTGAAAAGGGTCAAGAGCGGGAGATGAAGAATAAATCTCAACCGTTAGATTTCAATCATAAAAAAAATATAAGACCAACCCAAGGACTAATCCTCATTGGCATTTTTTTATAGGAGAAACTCCGCGAGCACCACGCGTCCAAGCCGAGACTTGAATTCGGGTGGGCTGGCAACAAACTCAGCTGCCCAACCAACAAACTCAGCTCCTCAATCATGTATTCTGATTTGCTCGAAACATATAAAAAAATAAAATCAGTCGCCCCCTTTCCTGGACGCCTGGAATACGTACGATTTCCTTGAAAGTCTTTCAGCTACTTTTCCGGTCAGAAATGGCAACCGATCGCTATCCCCACATAACGGTCTTATGACCTACAGCTACAAGGACCACTACGTGCTTCCAGGAAGCTGCAAAAGCTTTCGTTCAAAAAAGAAAAGAAGTTTTTTTTTTTGCATCGAAAAAAAAAAGTTGCAAGGCCTGCAATGCACGTGGAGTTGCGACTTGTCTACATAACCACACCACTAGCGCCCAGCCAAAACAGCAGGCCGTCGCTATAGCTACACACTTCCAAAGACCAACGAACACGTCAACAAGTGAAGTGCAGTGAGCGGACACACCACCGAGGAGCCAAGAATGGCGCCGCACCATCTTGCCCTCCTCCTGCTCGCCGCGCTGCTCCCGGCGGCGGCCATCGGCACCGACCCGGACGCCGTGCAGGACTTCTGCGTGCCGGACCCCGGGCGCGGCCGGCCCGTGGAGCTCAACCTCATCCGCTCCTACCCGTGCAGGAGCCCGGCCAACCTGACGGCGGGCGACTTCGCCTTCTCGGGCGTGCGCGCGGCGGGCAACTTCTCGGCCGACACGGGGTTCGCGGGGGTGTCCGTCACGCCGGCGCAGTTCCCGGGCCTGCACACTCTGGGCATGTCCTTCGCCCGCGCCGACCTCTCGGCCGCCGGCGGCGTCAACCCGCCGCACCACCACCCGCGCGCCACCGAGACGGCGCTCGTCCTCGCCGGCCGCGTCTACGCCGGCTTCGTCGACACGGGGGGCCGCCTCTTCGCCAAGGTGCTCGTGGAGGGGGAGGTCATGGTGTTCCCCCGCGGCATGGTGCACTTCCAGCTCAACGTCGGCGACCAGCCCGCCACTGTCTACGGCACCTTCAACAGCGAGAACCCCGGGATCGTGCGCATCCCGGCCACCGTGTTCGGGTCCGGGATCAGGGACGCCGTCCTTGAGAGGGCTTTTGGGCTCTCCCCCGAGGAGCTCCGGCGGATCGAGAAGAGGTTCGGCGTGCCCAAGAAGGCCGAGCTGGAGGACTAGTTAATTCGTCTATTATACTTCGTTCCTTGCTGGTCGGCCATGGCCGCATGTGCATGATTAGATGACAGGTAGACTTGTGGGTTGGGAGTATGGGCAATACTACTTATTTCTTTTCCATTTAATTAATATAATATACTTGTGGATTTGTAGTGGTGGTTGGTAGGGCTCATCCGTATGTGTAATGATATGAAAAGTGTAAGGTATACAAATGATTGCGAGTATATGGTAGTACCAAACAAATTAATGTTCATGTCACTCTGGCTAACACTCACTTCAGCCATGTCTTCTCTATTGGGAATTAGCACACAAATACACTTATGGTTAATTGAAAACTGCAGCGGAAACAAGTAATCTCAGCACCACATTCTGTACTAATTCAAGGATCATTGCTTAGCACGGAAGGAAACATATGCAGTAGCATATATGGAGGCAGAAAATGTTACTCAGCAGGCAAGACACTCCTCAGTCTAGTGTCTTGTGGTAGGAGTAAGTTTTCCTGACAGCATCAAGCATCAACAAAGAGACACCAGATTTTACGTGGAAAACCCCTCAACTTGAGGGGAAAAACCACGGGCCAAAGCCACCCAAATCCTCTTCCACTATTATCACATGTGGGATACACCAAGTTCTTCTCTAGACAGCACTAGAGGATCTCATACATCAAGATTTCTGAATCTTGAATGAACACAACAAGATTTGGGGCTCAAGAACTAGGGATTAGAACAATCTCACCAAAGATGGTGGAACTGAAACTTGAAGAAGACAAGGTAGTGGATCTGGACCATCACAATCTTGGGGAGGAGCTCCCTTGTTTCTTCCTTCAATCTTCCTCTTCTTCCCTTACTCTCTTGGTTTTCTCTCTTCTTCTTTCTTGGAGGATGAACTGATTTTCGTTACTCTTGATGGTGGCTGCTGGATGGAGGGTAAAGCATCCCCATCCACACGTATGCAAAGTCCAAAATGACCCTAGGTCATAATCCTAATGGGTAGTGGGCTTATGCACCTCTTTGGGCTGCCTAAAAGGCCTCAATTGTGAAGGAAATATGCCCTAGAGGCAATAATAAAGTTATTATTTATTTCCTTATTTCATGATAAATGTTTATTATTCATGTTAGAATTGTATTAACCGGAAACATAATACATGTGTGAATACATAGACAAACAGAGTGTCACTAGTATGCCTCTACTTGACTAGCTCGTTAATCAAAGATGGTTATGTTTCCTAACCATGGACAAAGAGTTGTTATTTGATTAACGGGATCACATCATTAGGTGAATGATCTGATTGACATGACCCATTCCATTAGCTTAGCACCCGATCGTTTAGTATGTTGCTATTGCTTTCTTCATGACTTATACATGTTCCTATGACTATGAGATTATGCAACTCCCGTTTGCCGGAGGAACACTTTGTGTGCTACCAAACGTCACAACGTAACTGGGTGATTATAAAGGTGCTCTACAGGTGTCTCCAAAGGTACATGTTGGGTTGGCGTATTTCGAGATTAGGATTTGTCACTCCGATTGTCGGAGAGGTATCTCTGGGCCCTCTCGGTAATGCACATCACATAAGCCTTGCAAGCATTGCAACTAATGAGTTAGTTGCGAGATGATGTATTACGGAACGAGTAAAGAGACTTGCCGGTAACGAGATTGAACTAGGTATTGAGATGCCTACGATCGAATCTCGGGCAAGTAACATACCGATGACAAAGGGAACAACGTATGTTGTTATGCGGTCTGACCGATAAAGATCTTCGTAGAATATGTGGGAGCCAATATGAGCATCCAGGTTCCGCTATTGGTTATTGACCGGAGACGTGTCTCGGTCATGTCTACATTGTTCTCGAACCCGTAGGGTCCGCACGCTTAAGGTTTCGATGACAGTTATATTATAAGTTTATGAGTTTTGATGTATCGAAGGAGTTCGGAGTCCCGGATGAGATCGGGGACATGACGAGGAGTCTCGAAATGGTCAAGACGTAAAGATCGATATATTGGACGACTATATTCGGACATCGGAAAGGTTCCGAGTGGTTTGGGTATTTTTCGGAGTACCGGGGAGTTACGGGAATACGGGGGAGAAGTATTGGGCCTTATTGGGCCATACGGGAAAGAGAGAGGGGCTGCCTAGGGCAGGCCGCGCGCCCCCCCAAGGCCTAGTCCGAATTGGACTAGGGGGAGGGGTTGCGCCCCCTCCTTCCTTCCCTTCTCCCTTCCCCTTCCTTGTCTCCTACTCCTACTACATGGAAGGACTCCTAGTTGGACTAGGAAAGGGGGAATCCTACTCCCGCTGGGAGTAGGACTCCCCTAGGGCGCGCCATAGAGAGGGCCGGCCCTCCCCTCCTCCACTCCTTTATATACGGGGGCAGGGGGCACCCCATGGACACACAAGTTGATCTTCGTGATCGTTCCTTAGCCATGTGCGGTGCCCCCCTCCACCATATTCCACCTCGGTCATGTTGTAGCGGTGCTTAGGCGAAGCCCTGCGACGGTAAAACATCAAGATCGTCACCACGCCATCGTGCTGACGGAACTCCTCCCTGACGCTTTGCTGGATCGGAGCCCGGGGATCGTCATTGAGTTGAACGTGTGCCAAGAACTCGGAGGTGCCGGAGTAACGGTGCTTGGATCGGTTGGACCGGGAAGACGTACGATTACTTCCTCTACGTTGCATCAACGCTTCCGCTTCGGTCTACGAGGGTACGTAGACAACACTCTCCCATCTCGTTGCTATGCATCACCATGATCTTGCGTGTGGGTAGGAATTTTTTTTGAAATTACTACGTTATCCAACAGTGGCATCCGAGCCTAGTTTTTTATGGTTTGATGTTATATGCACGAGTAGAACACAAGTGAGTTGTGGGTGATATAAGTCATACTGCTTACCAGCATGTCATACTTTGGTTCGGCGGTATTGTTGGATGAAGCGGCCCGGACCGACATTACGCGTACGCTTACGCGAGACTGGTTCTACTGCCGTGCTTTGCACACAGGTGGCTGGCGGGTGTCAGTTTCTCCAACTTTAGTTGAACCGAGTGTGGCTACGCCCGGTCCTTGCGAAGGTTAAAACAGCACCAACTTGACAAACTATCGTTGTGGTTTTTGATGCGTAGGTAAGAACGGTTCTTGCTAAGCCCGTAGCAGCCACGTAAAACTTGCAACAACAAAGTAGAGGACGTCTAACTTGTTTTTGCAGGGCATGTTGTGATGTGATATGGTCAAGACGTGATGAGATATAAGTTGTTGTATGAGATGATCATGTTTTGTTGAAGTTATCAGCAACTGGCAAAATCCTTATGGTTGTCTCTCTATTGCATAAGATGCAAGCGTCCAATAATTGCTTTACTTTATCGCTATGCGATAGCAATAGTTGCAAGAGCAATTGTTGGCGAGATGACCACGTGACGACACATTGATATAGATCAAGATGATGGAGATCATGGTGTCATGCCGGTGACGATATAGATCATGACAGTACTTTGGAGATGGAGATCAAAGAAGCAAGATGATGATGGCCATATCATGTCACATATTTTAATTGCATATGATGTTTATTTTTTATACATCTTATTTTTGCTTAGTTTGACGATAGCATTTTAAGATGATCTCTCACTAATTATCAAGAAGTGTTCTCCCTGAGTATGCACCGTTGCGAAAGTTCTTCGTGCTGAGACACCACGTGATGATTGGGTGTGATAGGCTCTACGTTCAAATACAACGGGTGCAAAACAGTTGCACACGCGGAATACTCAGGTTATACTTGACGAGCCAAGCATATACAGATATGGCCTCGGAACACGGAGACCGAAAGGTCGAGCGTGAATCATATAGTAGATATGATCAACATAGTGATGTTCACCAATGAAAATGCTCCATCTCACGTGATGATCGGACATGGTTTAGTTGATTTGGATCACGTGATCACTTAGAGGATTAGAGGGATGTCTATCTAAGTGGTAGTTCTTAAGTAATATGATTAATTGAACTTAAATTTATCATGAACTTAGTCCTGGTAGTATTTTGCAAATTATGTTGTAGATCAATAGCTCGCGTTATTGCTTTCATATGTTTATTTTGATATGTTCCTAGAGAAAAATTGTGTTGAAAGATGTTAGTAGCAATGATGCAGATTGGATCCGTGATCTGAGGTTTATCCTCATTGCTGCACAGAGGAATTATGTCCTTGATGCACCGCTAGGTGATAGACCTATTGCAGGAGAAGATGCTGACGTTATGAACGTTTGGCTAGCTAAATATGATGACTACTTGATAGTTTAGTGCACCATGCTTAACGGCTTAGAATCGGGACTTCAAAGACGTTTTGAACGTCATGGACCATATGAGATGTTCCAGGAGTTGAAGTTAATATTTCAAGCAAATACCCGAGTTGAGAGATATGAAGTCTCCAACAAGTTCTATAGCTAAAAGATGGAGGAGAGTCGCTCAACTAGTGAGAATGTGCTCAGATTGTCTGGGTACTACAATCGCTTGAATCAAGTGGGAGTTAATCTTCCAGATAAGATAGTGATTGACAGAATTCTCTAGTCACCATCACCAAGTTAGTAGAACTTCGTGATGAACTATAGTATGCAAGGGATGACGAAAACGAATCCCGAGCTTTTCATGATGATGAAATCAATGAAGGTAGAAATCAAGAAAGAGCATCAAGTGTTGATGGTTGACAAGATCACTAGTTTCAAGAAAAGGGCAAAGGGAAGAAGGGGAACTTCAAGAAGAACGACAAGCAAGTTGCTGCTCAAGTGAAGAAGCCCAAGTCTGGTCCTAAGCCTGAGACTAAGTGCTTCTACTGCAAAGGGACTGGTCACTGGAAGCGGAACTGCCCCAAGTATTTGGCGGATAAGAAGGATGGCAAAGTGAACAAAAGTATATTTGATATACATATTATTGATGTGTACTTTACTAGTGTTTATAGCAACCCCTCAGTATTTGATACTGGATCAGTTGCTAAGAGTAGTAACTCGAAACAGGAGTTGTAG